AGTGTCCATTTTGTAGGACTATCTTTTGTAGAATAAAGCACGAGCTAAATAGGATGTTTTTTGTACATTTGTTTGGATTCACTTCCAACTTTCCATGGATGATGAACAATACAATTTAATGAGCTTGTATGCTGTCTTCCTTTCCCATGTGCATATGCTTGTGGATTTATTGTAGGATTCACCGATTCCTCTCCCATGATGCATACAAATATATTGTGATTGATAGCTGCGTGCTTGGGAATCTTCCAATGCATGCTGTTTACCTGTATGATGGTACAATTGGAGACGATATACAGTAAAAAAATAAACATGAGTACATTGAAAGAATAAATGTCAGTTATTTCCTTTTTGTAAATTGCTATAATCAAAGAACAAATTGCTCAAGGCATGTGTTTTGTTACAAAACCTATATTTTCCTTTTCAGGCTGTATGGTTGCTAGCACAGCGTTGTATGCACGATATTTTGCTCTGGCGCTTCGCCTTCATATATACAATGCGACTAATAATGTATTATCTGCAATTATCTTTCTGTGCATATTTTGAATTGTCTGCTAAATGTAATCTACTGAGTAAATAAATCCAATGTGCTGTGAAGAGCTCCAATGCAAATAAGCTTTTCTGTAATTGCAAGATAGGGAGCCAACATTACTGCACATTGTGCATAGCAAAGATACACATTATTAACTAGCAAAAGATAAATATGCACAGTCAGTCCTCATCGTTTCCTAATGCAATTCTGGAGCACATCACGACACTCGCAGTGGGACAAATAAGACACTTATTAATTGTTTACATTTATCAGGATTGTATCTCACATTTTATTTTGGAATTAGTTTTCAATTGAAAGGCTAAAGGTTCCCTGTACAATTAGACAAATGAATAAACAAGTTTTAAAGGGAATCTATTTTTCCGGCATTAATATTAATTTGTAATTGTGGTCATAAACAGCTGTAAATTTGCTCGGCAGGTTGACTATATAATTTAATTTTGTTATTTCAAATTAAAGGTCCACTGTTGTAATTTCGACCTTTTAAAAGAAATGTCTGTTACCCGATACCACGCCCAGATGGGAATGTATCGTAGTTCAAAATATGGTAGCTTCCTACAGATGCAAACATTCTTTTCATTTGTAATTATGGCATTCAGAGATTCAGCGTAACCATTTTGAAATGTCCTTTTAATGAAAAAACAATAAGTAGGTAATAGGGATGCACAGATACTTTTCGAGTACCAGTACAGATACTTGGCATTTTCATGAGAACTACCAGGGTTGCAGCGGTTGGAGCTGGGACCTGGCTCTGGCGCTCCACCACTGTCCTGAAATCATTAGTCTGTATGGTTTTAGAAAAACTGTCACATGACAATAAACAAAAATGTATCAGTACTCGTACTTGTAAGTACTCGTACTCTCAAAACCTGGTATCTGTGCATCCCTTTATTTTATATTTATAAAAACAAAATCAAACATTAAAACAGAGATGTACAAATCCCAGAAGCTCCGTGTGCTCCTTACAAATGACAGCTGCCTCCTAACTTTTGCATTTTTCTCCAGTGTAGTCTTGGAGCTCAAAAGTATCGGTACATGTACTTGTACCGAGTACTGTACTTGGTATCTATGCAACCCTAGTAGGTAATATTTACAGAAAAGATATTTCAAAACAACAGCATCAGTAACAAAATAGATCAAAAGAGAAAATACTTAAGCTAAGTTTGCCTTATCTTTGGTTTCATAAACAGTCCAAGTTGCTTGCAGAGTAAGTCCAATGTGAGAATTTAGAGTCACTGGCTCTCATGGCTCTTGGCATTCCTTCATGATTGTAATAGTAAAATAGAGTAGCAGTTGTCAAATGCAACAACATTTTGCTGTCCGTGGAGAGGGTGTTGCATATCTAAGGAATGGGGGCTGTGTTGATAGGTGTGCTGGAGTATTTTATTATGCTCCCCAGAGAAACCCCTAATGCTAACTTTTCTAAATACCTCTATTTTTCCATCTGATAGGGTTTTACAATCCAACAGCCAACATGATATGTATCAGGATGAAATTCTGTATTCCATCTGACTTTCTCTGCTTTGCGCCTTAAGTTGAGCTGTATTCAAAGGTGCTTCATCAATCAATGCATCCAGGAACCGTGATCTATTCCAAACCGCATGCAGATTACCGCAGGAATTCGTAGGTTCCTACTGCAAAAATTCCAAAACGCACATTCACATTATAGTGTAAATGTAGCCTTAAAGTACTTGTAAAGGAATGTACAGAGCTGCTGTGAGAGCCTGAGTTTTGCAGCAAGGATGTAATAGATGCTGCAAACTCTACGTACACAGCTCTGTGCACCATTAACGTCAGTGTTTCCTTCCCTGTGTGACTTTAAACTAGTTTATTTCAGCATTCAGAGAAGCAGGGTATGCTATAAAAGGGATGTGTAGATTTTGCGGGTTTTCTATGATCGAGCGCTATACGTTTTGAAGTGCCCGAGGGACTGACAGTAATTTAAAGATATAAAAATTCACCACACCCCAGCAGGACAACATAACACATTTGACATATCTGTACTAATCAATATATGCATACAACAAACAGAATAGAAATGTGGTGTGGTGTTGAAAGCAATGGTGGAAAGCACTAATGGTGCTGCTACCCACAGACAGCAACTATGATCTCAGCAATATTATGCCAATATCTATATCTAAGGTTCTTGCTGTTAGGCACTTGTCCATGAAGAAGTGAACTTGTTAACAAAACACAACAAAATGTTTTAATTTTTTTTCTGCTTTTATTGAGATATGTGAAATATACAAATATGATAATTATATGATGGGGGTGAAGCTGTGGTGGAATAAGGCAATGTATATGTAACTACTGATATTTTAACATTTGGAATACGGTTTAAGCCTTTACCCTAGTATTCATGTCTTCTTGTTGACCACCTTCTTGTTTATCTCTCCTGTTCAGGTAGTTTGTTGTTTCACCCATTTTCCTTATGGTGGATGATTGGTTGTCCTCCACATTGCTAATTAAGGCCCATCATTTTTCAGGTGGAAGTTTCCCCTACCTGGTGATTACCTGCCCTGATCTGGAGCACTAGGTTGATTATCTGTGTTCTACCCCTGGGTCATGATGAAAATTCCAAATTTGGTTGAACCTGGTTCTTCTAACATTTGTTCAGATGTTCATCCCTTCAGATACTCTTTGTGATATGATCTCCCCACCCTCTATTTGGACTGCTTTTGAACATCCCACATGTCTAAGAATATTAAAGGCCTGTGTCCACCAATGGATGAAAAAGAAAATGAAGATTTTATTTAACTTATTATAAAATATTTTTCTTTAAGTTCATTGAGACACATAGGTCCTGTCTCTCTGTGTTATTGGCCTTATGTGCTGTTTTCTCACAAAACATAGTTATGATGGTTGGAGGCGAGATTATGCAGAAGCTGGATTAACATTTTTTTTTTTTTTTCTCGCCAGTGTCTTTTGAGGTCGTCTACGATTAATAAAGTCCTGTGTCCCTTAATGGACCCTGACTTCAACTCTATAACAGGCATTACAACAGGCCCCGTATTGTAATTTCACAGTGCCTGATGACCGCGTACTAAAGTTTACTATTGGCATGGTCTCTGGTTTCATATACTGATTAGGAACATGTTCTTCATTCTGTTTTAACACTATGACTAGGGTGTGTGGGGTGGTGCTGGGCAACAGTATAGCTCATATCTGTGGACTGAGCTGAAAGATGGGCAATCCAATGTTTGTTCTGTAAGGGACCTTCTTTTGGTCCTAGGCTGCTCAACCCTCGGAGAGACCAATTTTGGTGGTGGTCCTTTTATCAAGGTGACATCAATACATGAGTAGCACATTAAACAATGAATCATACAACCTGATGGCTAATTCCAATCCTGTATTGATACAACCATTAAAAATCCATACAGCATGTTTTGGGAGTGACAGAATCCCCCTTCAGGGCTTCAGTGTATACAGAGCAGCTGCTGCTGGAGTGTCAGCATTTATATGCAATACGTCTCTGTGAGACTTGTTGAAGGAGCAGCAGCAAGACATGCTGTGTATACACTGATTGCTGCTGTCTAGCATAAAGCACTGTCTCCAGGTTTATTCTCGTGGTAATTCAGCAGCAGTGCATGTTGCTCTGCTGCCTGATAGGTATACCATTCAATGGCTGAAGTTCTGTCCGTTAACTATGCTACAACAGGAAGAAATCAAAGCAAAAATAAATGCTATATTCACTTCATGACGAAAAGTGTACTTGCAAAACATGTGATAACCTTCCTTTTTATATCTTTCGCTTTGTGTTTAAGTACACAAAAACCTTTTGTGTTCATATCAGAGGTTGTTCCATGTATGGTATTGTAGCACAGGGACTGATTATTGCTGTTCTTTACTCTTTAAAAGAGTTCAGAATGTGTAACCATACCACCGGGTGTTTATTTTAGGAATGAAACATTTGAATTATTAAGCAAGCAAGCATGCTATGTTAAGTTCTGCACCCGTAAGCTCTTTTTTTTGGGTCACTAGTAATGCTCAGCAATTTGCAGCCAGTAGAAATGTTGTCACTAAGCTGGGTGGATGTTAACCTGTCTCTTGAAAGCATCAATGTGTTCCTCAAAAAATATATAATTGTAAAAAGTGTTTTCTCTATTTCTAAACTGACAGATTTTATATGTGCAAGATATGTATAAACATATGCTTAAATTTTAATGACCAAAATAGTAGAATTGGAGCTAGAAACGCCTTTTTTTGCGCTAGGCACAGCAGATTTCCTTATTTTCGTGTCTGTCATTTGTTTGACGGTGCTGCTTAATGATGCACTCCTGCAGTGCATTCACTGTTCAAGACAAGTCTTTGCACTGCTTTGCTGTGATTTTAATTATGGCTTAGGAACACAAGCCACTGTGACTCTGTCACCATTGCCATCTTTAAAAATGTTACATTTCAAAACAGTAGGTATATGTGCCAAGTAACGTACTGTAAATTTTTGTCATTAAAGGAGCTGCTTCTCTCTGGCATGCCTGAAATTGATGTAAATGACTGGGTGAAGAACACTGAATATACCAGTGGCTACGAGAGAGATGATCCAGTCATTCAGGTAAAGTACTTTACTAAGATATGCATAGTCATGCAACTGAATATATATATATGGATTTAGATTTAGTATGCATAATTTCTTCATACATGAGGGAAAAGAACATTTTTTAAACAAATATGTTTACTGATGTGTAGATTACTAGTCACGGTACAGAGGAACCAAATCCTTATGCATACCAATAGTTTATAAGGCAAAGCCTAGCAAGTATCACAGTAAACACATGGGTCAGATTACTGGAGTACCAGGAAAACAGTAATATTGTATTGCAATACAGAACATTTTCCTTTTCAATTTTTCTAAATGCATGACGATCAGATGGCCTTATCCAGCCTGGAAATGAGTAACAATTTAACTGATCTGACTATTTGTGATTATGATCAAATCTTGCATTTTGGCTTCTGAGTTAAATTTGAATTGTGCTGAAGACAAAATGTATGGCTGTCAATAGTCTACATGCACACATGAATGTAACCATTTAACATCTGCATAGACCATCTGAGCTTTTCAGGTGGATGTTTGTTAAACCTCTGTGGAAATTTATAGGCAGGCATTGAAAATAGGCAGGAAATGTATAGGCAAGCATTATAGGCAGAAGATTGCAGTGGTCTGTCTTGGTATGCTGATCAAGGGCTTTAGCAGTCACCTGAAATGGTTATGGAGACCAGTTCGGAGATTTGACCTCATTCTGAGTCAGGGCAAGTACTGAGTCCCTGATGGTTAGATTAAAAAAAAATCCACAAACACGCATATATACATGCATATATACATGCACACATCTCTAAAGGGGAGGGGGGCTTAAAGCATAACTACATGTTTTGGACAAATACTATTTTGCATGACAGTGCACTGAGCCACTTTGTAAATCCTGTTACCCTACACCTATAAAGACTCTCAAGGTATTCATTGTGTTTAAAGGACAACCTTTTTACATGGAAGTTCATGTAGTCATTTGTATATGCATTCTTGGAAAGGCTTACTGTTGACACTGCTGTCTTTACAGTGAAACCTTCCCTCACCCCCTTGATATCAAGCAGAGCTTGGTTATTTGGGCACAATTCATTTTTCATGCGTCTTAATGTGCACCTCTGCTCTAAAATTAAGAATTCATTAGCCACCGTTGGTGACTGATGAGTTCTAATGTGCAGTTCAATTAATCCAGGCATTCTTACCTAAAATATAATTGTAGCCTGGAATGTCATTATTCTGTCCCCACATTCTGACCTGATAGTGAAAATCATTTTGTTGTAATTTTGTATTTAAAAACTTTTGCCTGTGAATCACAGAAATCATCAAATAAGTTGTTGCAAAATTACAATTGCTTAGCAAGTGAATTATGGTTGCTGTACTCGCCTATAAAAGACTAATAAAAGTAAAATGCTGAAATATAACTGGTTGTTGTGAGTTGCTGCACATAAAAGGCATTGGCACCCTGTGTTTACACTTCTGAAATAAAATTAACTATTCAATATAACAGTTTTTACACAACCCTTGCTGTATGCAATTACCTGTTTTTTTTTCTTTAGATATGGAGTTTGGGTACCAAGTAAGAGCATTCTTTGCTTTTAATAGGGAAAATACATCCTACTATCCCCTAAAGGTGCCCATAGGCATTTCTGGAAGCAGCCTGTTCATACAATTTATGTTACAGCAAATGTTTGCTTTGGAGAGTGCCCCCCCCCCACCACTAAATGTTATCCTAAACACCTAGAGATAAGCCAGCATTCGTACCATCTGTATGAGTCTTCACCTTTTAACCAAGGAAAAACATAGGTGTGAACACAGCTGGCCCAAAAGACATTGTGAGACATACAGTATGTTGCCATGGTTTTATGGCAGGGATAGGCAAATTCTGGCCCTCCCAGTTGTGGTGCAACCACAAATCCCATTAGACACTGCAAGACTCTGACAGCCATAACACCCAGAGGCAGATGCATGATGGGATTTGTTGTTTAACGACAGCTGAAGGGCTGGAGTTTGCCTACCCCTGGTTTATGATCAGCCTTAGCCATACAGCCCTGAAAAAGATAAAGCTGAAAGTGCAGTAAATGTAAGGAATGTCTGAAATTTTAATTCCAAACACCATGCTGACCTCTGGACAAGCAGCACGCCTATTACAAGAGCAGGGGGTTGGCATTCTGGAAAATTCTATTTAGAAAATGAGTAATGTTAGCATGGTTGCAAGAAAGAGGAATTAGCTTCTTTTTTTTTTTGCCACTTTCACAAAGTCATGCCTTGATGCATTTTGGAATCCAAAGCTAATTGTTAAATATAAAAGTACATCTTATCCCAAATCACTTAAATCTTTAACGTATTAATGTAGTTTCAGAAGCTGTTTACAGATTTGCAAGCTTTTATTAAAATAATACATGGTGACCCTGTCATATGCTCCTGTTGGGTACTAAAAGTGGCTGCCCCAGTGCATATTCTGCAAACTGGTTTTGCTGTTGTCATTATTAGGAGCCCACCATGAGTAATGACAGTAGACAGGTAGTTGCTGCCAGGATTGGCAGCAGAAGACGAAAATATCACCGGCATTCCAGCATCCTCCGAGTTTCCTTTATTCATGCAAATATATTTTCAGTCAGCAACTGCTGATGCATTTTTGCCTTAAACAGCCTTGCAAACATTTGACTAAGGCCGTTTAAGGCAGAAATGCGTAAGCTTATATGCTTGTTGAAAAAAGGATTTTTTCAGAGGATGCTGGAGTGTCTGTGACATTTTCCATTTTCTGGAGCCATTATTTTCATTTGGAAGACGTCCCTCTCTGTGCACTATATGTGGATTGTGGGGCGTTGAATAGGGCTGAGCTGCGAGCTTCTATTATTTTGGGAGTGAACAGCAGAACCAAATGCAAAAAAAAAAGAAAGAAAATCGTAATGGCAGTTGATTATGATACACAGCTTTGTAGCAAACTAAGGTTAAGTTTTAACTGTACTCTAAATGTAAAATAGTTTACATATGAACTAGGGATGCACCGATACTAGTATCAGTGCCGATTACCAAGTATTTGGGCGAGTACTTGTACTCGCCCAAATGCTCAGATACCTTACCCGATACTGGAACTTCTGGTCAGAAGGAGATTTCCTCTGACCGGCAGTGCTGCGTGGGAACATGGAGTCGGGAAGCTGGCTCGATGTTGATTGGCCGGCTCGATGTTGATGGGCCGGGAAGCCGGCTTCCCAGCCAATCGGTGTCGAGCCGGGCAAACAAATCTGATAATATGGCGACACGACCCACACCCTGCAGACAAATCATTTCCCTCACATAGATCCTTAGCAGCAGTCATTACCGTACCAGTCCCTTGGGCAGCCAGCGCTACTGCGCATGCACAGGATTGCTGAATGAGAGTGCTCAGTAGCAGGCTGAGGGCTGATCACGTGGGTGCTGTGCACACAGGAGACGTGGGCAGATCCAGGAGAGCGGTGTCTGCCCTGCGGCCGAGGGACTGGTACGGTATTGACTGCTGCTAAGGATCTATGTGAGGGGAATGAGATGCCTGCAGGGTGGGGGTCGTGCCACCATATTGTCAGATCTGTTTGGCCGGCCTCAATGCCGATTTAGCTTCCCAGCCAATCACCATCGAGCCGACCAAACAGAATGGAGTCTGCTTCCCGGGCAATCAAGAAGCCGCGCGGTGGGTAATGACACGCCGCCTGGCTTCCTGATTGCCTAGGAAGCTGGCTCTATGATACCGGAAGTACCAGTATTGTCGAGTACCGAAATATAAATATCGGTACTTGATACCGAAAACCAGTATCGGTGCATCCCTAATATCAAATATATACCAGGGTTTATCTTAATATATATATCCAGCTGCTTTTTAGAGAAGTCATTTTTTAACAGTCCTTTGTGCTTTGTTTTCAGTGGTTCTGGGAGGTTGTCCAGGAACTTACCCAAGAAGAGAGAGTGTTGCTTCTCCAGTTTGTTACTGGCAGGTGAGTAATGGATTAAAATAGCCACTTTAGTTGCTGCCACCGATGTTGTTTCCGCTGGCATTGTCATAAAAATAGACAACGTAGTCTGGAAAAACATACATTCATTTTCCTTTCATTTGCTGCTAGATGAATTCTGTGACTGTCATTGCAGGAATCGGTTGTATACAAGGATTTAGGAGTTCTTCTGTAAACTTAACATACTTCAATTTTTAAGGGTTTTATTTATTGCCTTGTGTGGAAAATAGATGTCAGTGGTGTTGAAGGAAATAAATCAGAAACCGTTCTGCCATTCATTATAGATCAAGCTCTTCAGCAGAATGAAAACTCAGTTCTTGCTCCCTGATCATTAGAGGTGTGTTTAAAAAAAGAAATAAATATGCCTTCTTCCTCTGCTTTGCAGTCTTTCCTGTGCAGTTTATTCATTACAATCTCATCTCCGGTTGAGTATACCTTTAGTACCACTTCAGCAAAAAAAAAAAAAATCAAACATTCTTTCCCCTGGCTGCGGACCATAAAATTAATTCAATGGATCTGGTAAAACAAATACATTTATGATTGTAGCTTTTATGATTCCTGAATGTCTTTTAAGAATAACTCAGATGTCTTTGTCTCACGCTGTACGCTTGCTTCTGAGTAATAATGGCTCCAATTCTGATGGCTATATTGTTTATGAAGCAGTATAGTGTTACGAATATAGATAAATGAAAGACTTTGTTAGAATCTCATCCAAAGCAAGTCACATCTTTCCCTTTCCTGCTTTGTTAACTCTGGCACTTGTTCTCATTCTTCCTGCTTGCTTCTCTGTAGCTTTTCCTCAAGGTACATGCATACTTTTTGCTTTGCTTTATTGCTTTATACTCATTTATTAATGTTATTGGTTAATATTTAAATTGAGAATCTAAAGCTTCAGTCACATGCTTTGTAATAAACTGTGTTGGGCGTTTTGTAAAAACAGATTTTTGCCATGAATATGTACACAGAATATTAACCGAAAGATGTTGGAGTGCATTGTCAGTTTATGGATGTTTGCACTTAAATGCATTTACCGGTTAACCTGCCCTAAGCTAATACAGTATAACAATCCTTTATTTTGTCACCTTAGCAATATCCTTACCTTCTGACCTGATTTTCACATTCATAGTTAACTGCAACTGGAAGGCAGCATAAATCACACAATATATTTCTAAAGTCTTTACAAATAAGCTCTCATTTAGGTCTCCAGGATTTTGAAAAGTTAACCTTTGCAGTGGGGCTACCCTGCAAGGGTTAATTGCTTTTTTTTTATACTAGTAATAAAGAAAAAATACTCACCTGATCCCCTATTCCGCCATGCTGCTGGATGGGCCGCTTCCCTGGGTTCCGGCAGTCTAAGTACCTGTGAATCATCACGTCTAATGTAGTGTGTTAGACACGAGGACAGCAAGGGACATAGCACAGCCTTAGCATGGGGGGGAGAGGTGGGCGGGCACTGCTGCAGGATCAGGAATCAGCTGAGTGTATTTTCTTTATTTGGTCAATTGAAAAGTTGAGAATTGATGTCCACTCATAGCGCTCTCTTAGTACAGACAGGGGTGTCCGCCTAGTGTGAACAAAGAAACAAAAGCAGAGGAAGAAGCGCTGCGACCAAGTACAAATTTACTCTGTCAAAGGCCTTCTCCGCATCGGTGGACAATAGAAAGGCTGGGGTGGCCCTCGACAGAGCGGAGTGGATGAGGTTCAGGGCTCGTGTGGTGTTATCCCTCGCCTCCCGCGTCGGGATAAAACCCGCCTGATCCGGGTGTATAATGTCCTTAATATAGGGCAGCAGTCGCAGTGAAAGAATTTTAGAAAACAATTTCGTATAAACATTCATTATCGAAATGGGGCGATAACTCTGGCATACCAGGGGGTCCTTCCCCGGTTTTGGAATCACCTTTATGTGGGCCGAGAGAGATTCCCCCGGTAGTTCCCCTGTTTCACGTACCGAGTTGAGGGCCCGAGTAAAGTGAGGATTTAAGATGGGGGCGTAGTTTTTAAAGTATTGTAGGGTGAATCCGTCTGGGCCAGGGGCTTTTGACGAGGAAGTCAGTTTCAACGCAATCTCTAGTTCGTGATCCGTGATCGGGGCCTCAAGCAATGCAATCGCCTCCTGTGGGAGGGCCGGGAGGCCCGAGGAGGCTAGGTACCTCCGAATGCGGGACAGTCGTTCCGTTATGCCCGCTGCAGAGCTGGGCTGAGGGAGATTATAAAGCGAGGAGTAATATGCGCGGAAGTTGTCCGCGATATCCGACGCGAGGTGCGACAGGGAGCCCGTTGGGGACTTTATCACTGGGATCAATGACTTCGACCTCTGCTGACGAAGGGCATGGGCCATGGATCTGCTACAATGGTTGCTGTATTCGTAAAAATGTCTCCGACACTTAGCTAATACTGCTTTGGCGCGTTGTAGACATAAGGAGCGAAGGGAGTCCCTTAATCGGGCCAGTTGGGCCGCGAGGTCCGGGTCAAGGTCACGCTTGTGTCGAAGTTCAAGCGTGTGGATCTGCGTTAACGAGGTTATGTGTTGAAGGCGTTGACGCTTAACCTGAGAGCCTATCCTGATTAGAGTACCCCTGATGTACGCTTTGTGGGCTTCCCAAATATAGTATGGAGAACATTCGGAGTCCGAGTTCAGTTCAAAGTATGTCCGAAGCTCTGATGCTATCTCCGACGAAAGGGTCGGGTCCTGCATCAGAGTCTCGTTTAGTCTCCATCGCCACGGCTTAGTATCTTGTGATTGGGGCGTAATCGGAGACTGAGATAGTACCAATGGATGATGTAGATATCAAGTGCAATGCGGAGTGGTGCATCAAAAAATAGTCAATGCGCGTATACGTTTGTTGGGCAGATGAGAAAAAAGAATAGTCCCTTTCTGTAGGGTGGTGGATCCTCCAGACATCGGAAAGTTGGTGCATGTGGAGACAGCGCCTAATCCTGCGCAGCGCGGCCCTAGACAGGTGAGAAGCCGCCCTTGAAGAGTCCAGTTTAGGGTCAAGAATCAAGTTGAGGTCACCCCCTACGATCAGCAAACCCTCCCTGAAGTCATCCATCGCAACTAGCGTCCGTTCCAGGAACGGGATCTGTGCGTGATTAGGGAGGTAGAGGTTAACCAGAGTTACCATCTGGGAGTCTATCCTGCCTTTGATCATAAGGAGGCGGCCTTCCTCCCCCGCATGCACGTCCCCCAGGGTCCAGTGTATTCCACGTGAGAAGACGATGGATACTCCTCTCGATTTTTTTATCAGGGGAATAGCTGTGGTATGCCAATGGGTATCTGAGGTCCTTGAGGGGAGGTTCATGATAGACAGGAGGTGCATGCAAACAGACTGCAGGAGACCAGCAGTGTTAAGCTGTAATAAAAGTAAAAAAAAAAAAAGTAAAAATCATTAAACAAATGGCAGTTATATATGATACCCCATGCTTTGGCAAACTAAATGTCAATTAGTTAGGGTCTACATTTAGTTTAAGAAATAAAGTTCAAGCAAAATGTGGCCTTTTGAATTGTGTGTAAGAGTAATTCCATTGCATGCCTTTTTGGTTTAATTTCTCTTTTGGGTCGCAGCAGGACATTTACTAATGTCCACCTTTGACCCAAAACTCAGCAAATAGCAGACTACTTCCTGCTTTATGCTGCCAGTGCAGAGCCGCGTTGCAGCCGGAATGGATCCCGTCAATATTGTTGGGATCCACCCCATTGCCTGTGACAGCTGGTTCTGCCTCTTTAGAGCCACAGCCAGCTGTGCTCGCCCCCTCCCCTGTCTGTCCTTCCAGTCACAGCTCTCAGCAGGGAGAAGATCGGGAATTGAGCAATCGGCGGTATGTGATCCCTCAGTTCTCGATCTATAGAGAAAATGTGCGACAGCTTCAGTGTCACACATCGGCTCTAACTATGGGCATGAGTGTATTTCACTCTCCCCATAGTTCTCGTTTAAAAATCCTTATGTTTCTCTGTGCACTATTGCAGTTAGCTAGTTAGGAGTCCGTTGGTCATTATGTGTAACTCCAGGTAATTTCTTTTAGTGTTGGATAGTATTGGGAAAGGTCATACCTCCGTCAGGTTTTGGTTTCTATCTGGGTCTCTGTTCACTTCTGGTCTAGAGGACCGCTGAAAGGAAGCAAAATTAGAGCATTTCCCATGCTAGCATTTAGAACAGAGGTTTTAACCCTTCCCCATTCTATAAATTACTGTATATGTATCCATTGGGGATATGTCCTGTCTCAGTAACCGCTGTCACCGAGTCATGGAAGAGAGAAAACTCCCTCCCAGTGGGGACCCAGGCAACAATAAAAACTTGACAGAGCTTGCAAACGCTCTAGCTTTAATGTAAAAGATTTTATTTGCAAACTAACTCTCCACCTTTGCCTGCTACAGTGGGGTGTGGACTGTTTTTTAAAAATAATCTGGATGTTTTTACCCAATACTTGACGCTACTCTAATACATTTTCCAAAGGGAAAGTTCATCTGCAATGTTGGTTTAGAACTGCAATTTGAATGGTTGTCATGAATATCTTAACAAGCCTGTCCTAATGTAAAAGCATAAAGGTTGTTATGATTTGTCAGTGGTTTCATTTCTTAGCTGACTGATTTTTAATCTATTTCCTTTTTGTTTACTCTAGTTTTGTATAATCCCTTCATGTTGTTTATGTTACACTTGAATTCATTTATAATAGTAAATGGTAATACTAATTTTTGTCAGCAACATATGTGTTCCTGTTATTGCGGTATATTCAGATGTTTACATATCTATTAATCTGTGGTTTGTATGTTCAGTTCCAGAGTACCTCATGGCGGCTTTGCGTACATTATGGGAGGAAGTGGGCTGCAAAATTTCACTATTGCAGCTGTGTCATATACATCAAATTTGTTGCCAACTTCTAGCACATGGTACGTTCTAAAGATCAATTCTACAATGTATTAGTTCAGGGTCCAGTTGTCATGCACAAGTCTATTGGATACACTAGGTTTCATAAGCAGTTAGAGTCAAAAGAGCATACGTAGAGTTTCCCATTCACTGAAACCTCGTATTTGATTTGATGTTACACACTTAGTAAAGCTCATTTTTTAAATCCTTCTTGATGTCTCTATCCGAAAGTCTCATAAATATTTCTATTACATTACCCCTCTCTATGGTTGCAAAAATGTAGGGTCCTTTGGCTGTTTTTTTCATTTGTTCTTTTCTCCTTAAGCTACTTATGTTATGCCCACATTGATTCCACAGCCCATTGGCTTGTTGGAGGTTCCTAATTTATTATAGAAGGAGCAAAAAGAGAGGGCATTTTTGGCTGGGTCTGATTGTACGCATTCTTGTTTAAAGGGGGACAGGGGCCAATCCAATGTAGGAGCTTGGAGTTAGGAAGTGAGCTAATTGTCCCCACTACCAATGTTCTAGGGCAACCTTGTGGTTGTGGGGACCAATGCGAATGCTGGATATGTCCAAGTTATCCAGTAATTTACTATAAAATCTGGTGAGTCCTGCTCTAGGTTATAGAGAAGCATTTGGAGGAGGGTGACCTGTAGTGAACATCCACTGTGATTTAATGCCTGATAATTGGTTATCATGCATGTGGGTCCCACACTAGTGAGAGCACATGTTGAGCCTCTGTTACCAGTCACGGGTGGTGGATTCCAGAGAAGTTCAAGCTCTCCTTCAAAGAGTACGGGGTTGGGAGAGAAAGTGGACATGTTTCCAAGTACCTCGGAAGTCACTAGCAGTCAGAGTATGACAGCCCTGTCAGTGATCAGTATGTGGGAATCGGTGTACATGGGTTGCCATTTCAAATTCTTGAAGCTTCGAGGGACAAGGTAACTCGTCTTCAGGTGTAGAGGTGCCAGTGACAGGAGCCTATGGGCTGGGGTCTCCCAAGGAGTGCTAAAATATGGCGAGGGCAATTTCCTTTGGCTGAGAGGCTGGGGTCGTTTCAAGGAGGCCCTTTAGCCATCTTTTCCCCTCCAATTACTACCCTCCAGGTCTTCCAGTTGGAGTTGCAGCTGAGATAGATGATCGAAGGTCGAAGATACCATTGAAATTATTCAACGTGGGTGTCCAGGTTGGATTGTTGCTGTAACTCTGCGGGGCCCTCTAATATCTTTCTGTATGTACTTTAGCAAGCCCTGGAATTTCACCAGGACTTCTGTCAGATGTTCAGGATTCTCAGATGTGTTGGACTCTTAGTCAGTCATAGTCTTGTAGCATTTGGGGCTCTGATCTTTCAAGTCCCTAAAGGCTGGTGATGAAGGTCCACTAGACTGCACGTGTGGCGGATACAGTCACCATCATTTTTTTGTGTGGGTGAAATATTTGTGCAAGTCTGTTTATGACTTTGCTCTTTGGCATCTGCTCTCCTTTTCCCACTGGACATACTGTTGCTAGGTAGTAATGGTGGATATACTGTAAATACTTGCATTGTAATGGCGTGGTAGCTCCATAGCTGTGCTCCTTACTCGGCAATGCTCAGCATATGCTCCCTTCGCTAGACCTTTAATGGAAGAAAGAACTGTCTCCAGGTGAACCTGTGGTCTATGTGGAAAAAACTGAGGTCTGTGGATGGGTGAAGGAGAGGAGGTTTATCTAGTTTCCCTGTACGATAACCGTTCTCCCTTTTGTATTCCTGCAGAATATAACCAACTTCAGGTTTGTATATTTAGGAAATACAGCCAAATATATAATACGCAGTAGTGCAGACATGCAAATAGTGAATCTCATGATTGCTCTTTGCACTCCCTCCCAGCAGTGGCCAGTGAAGGAAAAAATAGAGTGTAGATTTAGCAATACAGTGCAAAAGGCAATGATGTGTGCATAATGTAGTTATTCATAGAAATCAATCCGCTTTTAGTAGTTAGAACATTAATTCTTTCTGGCTGCTAAATATTCATGAGCCTTACACACTGCTCTTCGTTATTAGAAAGAAAAGCTGATTCTGTTTTGGTGCATTATGATGTGTATGATGTGTGTGCATATATAGCCCTTTGTGTTATAGATGCGATCACATAATGTAATTTTGTTCTGTCCTATAGGGATCTTTTTATTTCAAAACAAATCTACAGACTTTGATTTTATCTGTATAACTCTTTTCTATTACAGCATCAATATGCTTAAGTTACCTGAATACCCAAGCAAGGAAATCCTAAAGGACAGGCTTCTTGTGGCATTGCACTGTGGAAGCTATGGCTACACAATGGCGTAATGAAGAAAGAAAAACTCATCTGACTACTGATGCGCAATTCAGAGTGGCAGAACCAATTTAGAAAACTGTCAAGAGGAAAACAGGCTTGATACTGCCCACGGGCAGGGCTGACTTTCAAAGATTTGTAAAGTACCTATTTTCTTCAAGATTAAGTGTTGTTTGTGTGGATGTGTGATTTGAAAAGCAAGGGGAAAAAAAAACCATAGACAGTTCTCCCTGGCGCATCATGCTCTTCTGATTTGAAAAACAAGCCACGTTTTTTTTGTTTTTAAACAAAACCACTCTTTTCATGGATGCATTCAGTTTGTGTGATCTGTTTAATTACTGCAACAAATTGCTTTTATAAATTATTATTTTTTTTATGATTCATTTATTGAGGAAGGAATGATTGCACAGAGTATGTACGTTTACAAAAAATCTTGTAAAACCTGTAATTGTTTTTTTTTTTCTTCCCCTGTGGTTTTAACATTTTAGTGTTTATAAGCTGTAAAAGTGAGTTGTTTTGTTATCATTCTGTACCGCTACCAATAACAGAACTTCATTTCAGTTTATAAACATTTTAATTATTTCATGCAGTTTTTTTGTTTTTTTTCCCCATACGTGTTTAAACTGTTCATCTGTTTTCATTTTACAGCTGGTCAGGAAAAAGAACAGCCTTGTTTTACATTTATGTGACCTTTGCTGTTATACTTTGTTCTGAATTGTTTATACATTGGTTGTGCAGATCTGAAATGTATTTTTGTACAAATCAGCTTGCTATAATAAAGTATTTTATAAACTTTTATACATTGACACAGCACTGAAATATGTCTTTGCTTTGTGTCATTTTTTTTTTTCCTACAGAAGGCTAATACCGGTAACAGGAAAGATCGCAAATCATATAAAACGACTGTGTCTGCAGTCACGAAGACTCTTTTAATTGAAAAGAGCAGTGGCACCAAGCTTAAGTCGTAATAAATTGAGAGGATAATTGGTATGAACACATTAGTTTGGAGTGGCCGTTTTATGGGCATAATGATGAATAAACAAAGACCATGTACAGAACAATTCTCTCAGTTCCAAATCAAAGCATGTCAAGGGCGATAATATGTGGCACTGTGTTTGTTAGCACATTTTAATGGTTGCCCTGAGGCAATCTACCTACTGCACCAGTCTGATTTTGAAAACTCTTTCAGGTTTATTTACTCTTATGTAGGATACTTTCACATTGCTTTATATAAAAGAACCTAATAATTACGTATAATAAAAGCATACAGAGTTCAGGAACTTTGAGGTACATTCCAGTCGAAGCTGAAATGTAAATCCTGAGATAGATACAGGTAGCTCAATCTATTTGATACTTTATCATCCAGATGTCGCTATATTTTCCTAAAACACAGAACATTCTTTTGTCGGCAATCTGGTCTGTGAATGCCTGCTTGTGATGCAGGTGAGGAGTTTCCAAGCACACCCGCTCTCTCACAACAGGAAACCTGCTGTAAGGCTGATAGAAAGAAAATGTCAGTACTAAAATATTTTTAATCATTTATATTCAGACCCTGACCCTGTCACCACACCATTCATTTAAAGAAAAAAAATCTTATCATAAGATATGTGCGTTTAACAAATTTTAAGCATCTTATTTCTCTGTAAAAGCCTCCCTTGTGTAGACATCCAAAAGCCCTGTGACTGCTGCTGGGGGGGCTGGTATCTTGGATGTGATGTTAGCAGACTCTCTATAGCACATGTGTCAAATTCAAGGCCCAGGGGCCGAATCCGGCCCACCAGGCCATTTCCTAGACTTCTACTTTCAGATCTAGGTATTAAGTTATTACTAGAACTAGTGATAATCGAATGCAGAGGCAATTATGATAAAGATTCAATACATTTATATAGTCTTACAGGCCCTTTGAGTGCAACCATAATGTTGATGCGACCCTCGATTAAATTGAGTTTGACACCCCCTGCTCTATAGCGACATGCGATAGTATGTAGTATTTCCTTTGCTCCTCCCTTGGCAGCTACATGTGTGTGTATGTATATGTATAATAACTGGTCCAGAGAGTAACTGGACAAGGGGGGAGTGGACTGTGCTGCAGAAAATGACTCTTCCTGAAGTGGTTGAATTGAATAACAGGTTCAAAGTCACATTGCAAGTAAAAAAATTGTTTACGGAAAGGAAAAACACTTTAAGTGAGTATTTAGATACTTGCAATTATTTACATTGGTTACAGTTTCCCTTTAAATCTGACGATAATGGATGCAGAGGGAAAGAAAAAAAAAAAGTTACATATGACATGCTTTAGGAAGCATACTCCCATTGAACAATCGATGAACTGTATAAAGGCTGGCTGCAGCAGATTACTGAGAACTCAGATTAAGGTAAACCGAGTACATTGTCTGACTTTATGACAGTTGCTCAGTTAGCTGGATAGCATTTATAGCTTATTGATTGGTTTAACGTGTTGCGTGGAATTGCTGTTTGAAGAGTTACTCAATCAAAGCACATTACGTTTACTGTTTTACCCGGGCTTGTAATTTACACAACTTTGACACACTGCACAGCCATGATGATCAATCCACTACTACTGTATTTAAATTTTGCAGAGGTAGTGATGCTGTTTCCTTGTACAATGAACAAGCTGAAGGTGAGGACATAAAAATCCAGCCTACCTGAGCTTAGGAATAGGTATATCGCATGTCTGGCTGTTTAGTATGGCAGATGTGTGCTAAATATCCCTATTAAAACTAAAATCCAGATAAATAACCGCACATTTTCATTTAAAGTCCCCCCCCCCCCCCCGGTTCAGCAATTCATCTTCCTGCTGCAGTGTCTGGCAAGGGAGCATGTTGGACACAAATGAAGATGGATTTGTTCCACTCAGGGGACACAAGACTTTTTTTGATTAATAAAGCTTGTGAACCGCATAGTAAATTATTTTGGGACCTGTGTAGGCTGTCGCACAGGAGCCTATAGTTGTTTACCTTTAGGGAATGGTAAGGGGTTAAAGCTGAAGTTTAATCTGCTTATATTTTGCTTTACCTGTTTCCTCCTTTCTCTCTCATCAACATGCTAATGACCTTTAAATAAAGCCTTTGTTTTCACCTTTGTCTATACAATGCAGGTAGATCATGGTTACTGAGGGGGGCTGGCGGAGTACTTCCTGAAAACATGACAGCACCCCACCTCAGTACTCCTCTTAAGAGCCCTTAGCCCTGATGCAAGTGGTGTTATGCAAACATCAGAATGTCTAGATGCACGTATGTCAATCTGGAGGAGTGGGCATCTCTAGCCAGACTATATTTGCATGCAGAACACTCTAGGTAACACCCAGCTTTCATGATCAAAACAACTGAAATCCAATGAATGGAAGGGGTGCACAAGGACAGTAGGAGCAATGAATTAGATGATTATGGATGTCCTCCAGCTGGGAAATGAGGCAGCCTCTATCAGACTTGCTGCAGCTTCTAATATACACCATGAAAAGTTCACAGTGTGCAGTGAAATAAGAGTAAGCAATTTCAGTGAAATATCAGCTTGTACAACTGTTCACGACTAATGGTAGAGGTGGAGTTGAGTTTTTTTTTTATACAATAAAAAAAAAAAAAAAATTACACATCTTTCAAGATTAAAAGAAGCTCCTATCCAGTGGCGGAACTATTGCCATAGCGACCCATGGGGCACGGGACATAGGGGGGCTTGGCCAAGACGAGGAACAAAGGGGTACCCCTGATGCCGTGTGGGCCGTCTGGGTCACTATCGCATCATAGGCTGCTGGCTGTCAGTGGTGGCTGTGAGGAGAAACACGCCGCTGTCCAGATCACTGACAACCTCTCAGTGATCTGTGCAGCGGCACATTCCTCCTCACAGTCACTGCTGAGTCAGTGACATCCAGCAGCTTGCGGTGGAGCAGGTTGACAGTGGAACAGGACTGACAGGTAAGAGGTGTGCAGGGGTGTGACTAGCCCACCTGAGAACCTGCAGAGCCCACCATAGAGTATGTGGTGGGCTCTGCAGGGTCGCTCTCAGGTGGGCACTGCAAGGGGCGTAACTAGAAATCACAGGGCCCCATACAAAATTTTGCTATGGGGCCCTGTGATTTCTAGTTATGCCCCTGCTCCTATGATCTGCTTATAAAAACACAATACACTCTAACAATATTGTTACAATGTATTTGGGAATTCTGTCAGAAAACAGTTTTCAGGCTCCATTTACACAGAAGCCTCTGTGTGCACTCCTAATAGACAGAGCGGTACTAAAACTGACAGGAAACAATACCGGCGCCTCCACGTGCAATATCGGCCAGTTGCAATGGTAACAAACACACTGAAGAGGCAGCTCCCACAGGTCAAAGGACCTTCAATCTGAGAGACAAAAAACAAAAAGGAGCGCCTCCATAGAGTAAAACGAATGTTAATGATAAAAACTCACAACTGTATTGTACTTACAAAAAGTCAGTAGTAAAAAGGCATGTAGAAAACAATGGGTTGTCAAATCATCTAGCAGCGGATGTCTGAAAAGATGTGAAGCATCAGCGTCCACTGCCCCTGTGTGGTCACGGTTTACATGTTTCTGGGGCACGCCCCCTTCCTCAGAACCTGACGAACACCACTTACACCCTGTTCTTATATGTCTAAGGCTGACCTATCACGGGCGATCTCTAAATGAGTCACAAGAAGCAGTTATACCAGTTTGTCTGTGTTATAATTGGTGTTGTCTCTATCCCTGAGGTTCATTATAAGCTGCAAATCAGCTGGTAGAATCTAATTAGTGATCAACATGTGAAGGGTCCATGTTTGGTGTCTAAAGGTGCCCATACACCTTACAATTATCTGCAGATTTTCTGTGGTGAGATGGAAAAAGTGCAACAGATTGGCCCAGGTGGAGATTACTTCATCCACACAGTTAAGTGGAGATGGAGGAATCTGTTGCACCTTTTCCATCTGACCACAGAAAATCTGCAGATAATTGTAAGGTGTATGGGCACTTTTAAAAACCTCATTTTTGTATGAAATTAAATCTAGGAAAGGGAGAGACATTAATCCTCCAGTTCTTAATAAAGCTGCTCAAGGGATCGCAAACATGTGTGAAAACACACAGGTCGCTGAGCATATGCATTAATAGTTGTGCAGACTGTTTGAACTTGTATTCCAAGTACTAAAACTGCCTGCCTAAAATTTCACCAGAAATCTGTGCACTGCTGAGGAGATAGGGTGTACAATGGTATGCCAAAGTATTTGAAATACTTTTTTTTGGGGTGTACTTATTACATTCAAGCTCTCTAACTGGTTAAATTGTGTGTTTAGCTGTTTTCTGGAGATCTGCTTTGAAATTAGAAAAAGGAAAGTAGGCGTATATGAGAAAGTGTTCATTTTGAGCTCATGCTATTTGGATAGCTTCAAGAGATTAAGTATATTCTAGAAACTTTTAGGCGTTATCTTTCACCTCTGTTTGCTAAATTCTGATTCCGTAAACCAGCATAACAAGTCCAAGCAGTGATGGTCGATTATCAAGCTAATAAACATTGCGTTGAGGGGAAATCTGTGCACAAACCCAATTAAAGAAAGAAGAAGAAAGGAAGGTGGATGAAAAACATAAATACTCTTTCAATTTAATTTAGTATATTCTAGCTCTGTAGCAGCTTTTCTGTGGCAGATTTTAATTAAATGAGAGTTTGAAAATGCTTGGTTTCCCCAAACAATGAGCCACATTTGCATTTTGTTATTATAAGGTCATCAGGCAGGAAATTAGCTAATTGTGATCTCTGTTACAATAGTTTTGTAATAAAACTTCCAATTAGTTT